TAAAACTTATAACCCTCGGTTCATATATATTCAACCCTTCCTCCGGATCCCGTTTCGTCTTCCTCCACTTCACATGATGTAACACCCATACATTCGGTAAGTCAAATACTTTTTTAATTATTTATGCTTATTTAATTTCTTTGACTTATTACCATTGTGAGACTATCATGAAAACGTGTATCTTGACAATCAAATGAACGATAAGGGAGTAAAGTGAACCCAATTAAGAGTTTAACTTCACAATAGGTGCAATAAGATAAATTACACAAGTTAAAGGTATGTTTTAAATCGAAGAAACACTAAAGCACATGTTTTAATTAGACTTGGTTTTGACTCTCTTGACCGTTTGATTAGCCGTTGAACGACATAAATACAACTTTTTGTGTTTTTTTTTAATATCTAAGACATTTTCACCTATAAATACCAGTGGCCAGTCTAGAATAGAAAATCATATGGTTCATTAATTTTTCTATATATATATATATATATATATATATATATATATATATATATATATATATATATATATATATAATTTTTTTTTCTATATAAATTCAAAGATTTTTATTGGTAAGGTAGGTCCTAAATATATTTTAATATAGGTCCTAAAACATTTCTATAGAAATTTTAGATAAATTAAAAAAAATAGGTGGGTCCTAGGACCCACCTTCCTTACACCTAACCTCGCCACTGATAAATACAACCCTATATAACCATATCTTTTACACCATTCTTCTCCTCTTGTATTTACGTACCACACATTTATCTTGTCAAAATCCAAATACCCCACCAAGTAATCGAAACTGCAATCCTGGTAATCCTTTTGGGTTAGATACAACTACACACTAATACCCGAATATTGAATCACCTCAAATTGGTTTTATGAAATTTCTCCAAGGTGGTTCCTTTGTCCCAAAAACTCAACTTTTTCAACAATCATACCAAGTTTTCCTACCCTATCTACAAAAATTCCAATACGTTTTCATATACCAACAACCCTTCCAAACACAACCACAACCATTAACTCGACAACCTTCACAACCATAGGCTTCACCATGACAACATTCAAAACCACATTTTTCACCACTTCAGATTTTATACCCAAAACACAAGTCGAACAATCCCGTTCAACAAAGAAGAAAGGAAAAAAGACCCTCTAAACCACTCAAAACGAAAGGGTGGCTTGGAAAAAGGAGGAAGAAGTGAATTTAGCATAAGTGCAGTTTCAGCTTCCCAAGACACCTTAGTTCGAGATGCTCGAACATAGGGCTATTCACTATTTGGTTAAAACCGAATTGTCCAAACGAACAATTTGGATTTGACTATCTCGTTCAGATATTCGGATTTTTGGATTGATTTTAAGCTAAACCGAATTATTATTTGGCTTTCGGATTGGTTTTGGTTTATAAAATAAGAACCAAATAGTCCAAAAAAACGAATAACAACTTATTATTTATTTTTAATGTATATTTTTTAATCATTTATAAATTTACTAAATTATTATTTTTAATTATTAGAACTTTCATCCAATATCATACCTTAATATGTACTTCTTATCTAAGAGTTTTTTGTCAATGAAATATTAAACTGTAATCAATTTTTCTTAATAGTTGTTTGTAAATTATTATTTATAACTAAAAAGTTGTTTTAGTTACTTTTATATGGTTGACTAATATTTAACTTATATATTTTTTAAAATATCTTGCCTCTTAAAAACCGAATTGTAAAAAACGATCCAACCGAATTGTAATTTGGTTGGATCGAATCGGATTTGAATTTAGTTTAGACATTTGGATCCATGTTCGAGAAACCAAAATCTATTTGGATTTACTTGATCGGATCGGATCAAACCGATTCATCCAAATGAACACCCCTACTCAAACACCACCAGGTTGTTTTTGGAAAAAAGTTCGAACCATTTTCTATAATTAATGGGAAAATGAAATCTGAAATCCTGACTAAATTACTTCGAAGTGGCGCGATTTGAGGTTGAAATAATCCGAATTCGGCGGAATTTTCAGGAATCTCACCAACTTACACAAAATCGGGTCAAGCGATTTTAATGTGTTTTCACGGATATTGAATAATATGAAAAAACAGTAGCAACCTGCAAAGCTTTTCCTTATATCCTACCATGGCAAAAGTTAAAGGATGCTCCAAAATGGAAACATATGCAAGAACCGGATCGTACGGTTCGAAGCGTTCGAGAAATGTCGGTCGAAGCACATGTTCACAACAATCAAATGACAGGACACACATTGACATCAATGATGGGTTGGTGGATGTTGAAAATGAACAACCTCTACGTCGACCGATAGAAAGAAATAAGGCAAAGAAAGCAGTTTCTGTTTCGAGTTAAAAAAATTTGAGTATTAGCGTTATCGATTATTTTGGAGAAAACTTTGATCGATATATCCAACAAGAAGAGAACAAAGTTGTGATGATGAGTTGGGTGGAACAAAAAATCGTAGACGCGCAAACATCATTACAAAGGAATGCTGATTTGGAGGTTTTGAAAATGATGCACGACGACTACGAAGACGAAGATTTGGAGATATTTCTTATGATGAAAGAATCCGTCCGAGCGAGGTACAGGAATAGAGATTAGTTTTTTTTTCCTATGTTTGAGATTTTTATGTTAGTTTTTATATTTTATGTTTTAACTTCTTTTTTTTAATTTTTGATTATTTTTTATTTTAATCAAGTATTTTTTTTATTTTAATTTCAATGAATGAAAAACTAATTAAAAAAATAATCTAGCATTTTTATTATATTTTTGATTTAATTTTAAACCAAAATGATGATGTGTAGCGGTGGATATTAGTGGGTATACCAATGTACTATGGTTGTGTGTAGTTATGATGTGATAATGACATGATACCGACCATATTTGCGGTTAGTGGTAGGTACTCCACAATGCCTTATAGCGCTAAAGGCCATGTTTTTGTAAGTTGTATTGCTTTTCCTTTCTTTTAGATTGTAGAAGGTATGAACACACCATAGATTCCATAATTAGGTCGATTTTTTTTGTAATTATATGATGGTGTGGTATAAGCAAATTGAAACCATAAGTGAGTGATGACCCAAAAAAAATCTTAGGGCTATTTGGGTATGCCTCTTACCTTTCCGGTAAGAGGTTAGGTCTTAAGTTAGTTAGATACAAACTAATTTAATACCACAATTAAAAGTCTATGATTCAGTCTAAGATGTTGGTGATTTTAGTGTCACCATGCATTTTAGGTAATTGGAACTAACATGTGAGCTAAGAGGATTATTATTTGTACTATATATTTGGTGAATGCGGAGTGCACGTATATATAAGATCGAATTATAAGCCGATACGGCAGAAAGATGGGGGTTAAGGGGGCTGTGCCCCTTTGCAAGGTCCTAAGGGAAGCGCCCCTAGCAGGGTCCAAGGGGCAGAGCCCCTAACGACGGTGTTGCTGTCAGCCCGCTAGGTCGAGGGGCAACGCCCTAAAAAGTCTTCGAAAATTTGAATTAGTTTCATTATGGAAAAAACGAATTCTAGTGGGTGATTATGGTAAGATTGACAAATCTTGTCAGTTTTGAAAACCATTGATTAAGACATTAAGTTCATGATTCTCCTAACTAATTTATAAGATATAAACCAGCCATGCATATATACGACTCCTCTTTTGAGCCATACAAAACCCTTCTCAGCTCTACTTCTTCTCGAATAAACTCATAATTCGTCTGACAATTTGACTTGTGTTTCTGTGCTTAGATACACACGTATACTTTTGAATTATCCTAGATTAAATTTCATGTAACCCAAACATAGGATGAAAATATCAGTTCGGAAAGTGACCTTATACTATCCATTAGGAATCCGGTTCTCCACCATCACCTACATATATTCCCCCAACATTAGATATAACCCACACTGACTCAATTAGAATTGAGTTTTGGTAGACCGACATCAGATGAATTAACTAATTGATTGTGTGTTGGTGAATATGTATTATGTAGATGGGTAGCTCAGATTTAAGGGTTTTTATGGTATTTTAAGGTAAATCGGTTCTATGTAGTAGTAATTTAGATATACATATCTATAGATTGTGTGCTCTAGAATGAGATAATGATATATTCCTTAAACTGCAGTCATAACATTGATATTGTTTTTATCCTTTGTTTGTGTTTAATTCCCTTGATAATGGTGGTGTCCATGATGATAAATTTATATATTTGTGTACTAGCGTTCTATTTTTATTTCTTTCTATTGAGCATTATATTTTCACATTTTTTTTTCTTATTAAGCCATTTTACTTTCAAAAATCTTCTCAATTACACATTGTACTTAATTTTTCTTATTAATCTGAAAGTCCACCTGGTTATAGCATTATACATTCATAGCATTATACATTCATCTTTTCTTATTAAGAAATTTTACATTGAAAATACCTACTTATAGTCTTTTACTCTAGGTCTCATCAAGTCATTTTGCTTTGAAATGTGTAACCTTATTTAGCAATTTATGCAACTAGGATGAATTAGGCAGCCACATTTGAACCTTTAAAAAAGGTGACTAGTAAAATGTTGCATATTTTGGTAACAGAAAGAAACATAGTTGCATCATATTTCTTGTAGAAAACTAATAGACGGGAAAATGGCTAAATAGTTATTTGAAAATGTTTCACAATTTAACCAATTTATCTAACAATGTTCATACTTTTACCAAGTAACGCAATAATTTTTCATACTTAATTTTACCAATTTATGCGACACTTACAAATTATGCAAGCACGTTTGAATTGTTTAAACAGGCTTTCATAAGATAATTGCTATAGAATGAAAGTAATTGCATATTCGTCCAAAATACTATTCTGTTTCATAATGGAGAAAAATATATATGATGCTTCAATACATAAACAAACATTTAACTTTTATTAAATAAATCCAAAGTACAAGAATACAATAAAATCAAGAATTTCAAATGATTAGGACAGAGGAAACAGAAGAGTTATGCTAACCTTCATCATTCAAGTTCCATTGTCACAAACAAAGGATTGAATATCCTCTGAGTCTGCTATTTCGATAAACCTGCAACACAAACATCAAATATACAATAAGTTTACAAGGAAAAATTTCTGATCGACTTACTTTCAATATATAGTTTTCAACTTGTTTAGCAAGAAATATGCACAAAAATCTTGGAATTATCATTATCTACATGCTAAACATTTTTCCTACAACGATACTCATATAGCTAAAAAAACCCCTCCAATTAAATACCGTAAAGTCAAGCATGCATGCAGTTCAAACAGATGGCAGATCCTTCAGTAGTAAAGAACACACTAATCGAAGTACACCGATTCAATCCAACCAGAAATACTACTTATCAGATGAAAGTTCTTCACGATATGTCATAGAATTCAAAGTAAAATCAGTCAATCATAACAACTAACTGACCAGATGAGATCATACCAATTAAAGCAGATATCGATCTGTCGACTATATTATGAGAAATCAATACAGAAAGATTTCGATTGTACTTGAAGAGACTCAGATCGTAAATGCAAAACGATAAGTATTTGAAACAATAGTGAAACTTTCAAAGAATAAAAGTAAATGGGATTGAACTTTAAAAGATGTGATATTGCGCTCACTGAAGCCAAACATTATATAAACGTAAATATTAGTCAACTTTCTCTCTCTCTAAAAGTGATGATTTATAGTTAAAATAATGAGTAGCACATTTTGCACCGCCTTGCAAGTTGGAACATATAAAACTTAAGGTTTACGTCATCTTTCTCATTCCTTACATAATTGATGGTTTAATTCTAAAAAACTGAGTTGCATTTTTTCTAAAAAACTGAGTTGCATTTTTTTTAAGAACAACAAAATTTATTAAACGAAACTAGCAAGAGGCTATACAGCTGCAAATATCGTTGAAACATGGCAAAAAGCCTCAACAAACTAACAAAAAATCAACACTTAGGAAATACAAAATTACACCAAAGCTCTATTATAGACCCGGTATTCAGACTGATATAGTGAGGAAGAAACCATATTAACAATCTGGAACTATAAAGATCAATGATTTTGAATTTGAATTTCCAGCACCATGGTAGACCCTTATTTTAAACATTCCACAAGCATAGTATGTCAATGACCTTGTAAACCAAAAATATCAATGCATTTTTATCGTCCCACCAAAAGTAGCATCACACTTTGAATTCGCTCCAGGGTTGGTAGAAAAATTATCAATCCAACTGCATGTGCATGTTCAAAATAGATATTTAGGTATTATTTGTTTTTAAGGAGGTAAAAGATCTTCGGTCTTTATTTTCATCAACTAAATAAGATGTGGACTAGAAATCTGCAAATTGTAAAAGATGTTTGTTTTTTAAATTCTTCAGACTATATGAAAATAAAATATTATTATTATTATTATTATTATTATTATTTAACAAGACTATTTCAATAAATCTAGTTTTATAATACTCAAATTTGATTCATATAACCGTCGTAAGCACTACAAGAAAATAGAGTATTACCGGCGACAGCCATCGCCGCTAAAAGTGACATTTGTCGCCGCTAATACTATTAGCGGCGACCTGTCGTCGCTGACGCTTCGTCGCTGATAATCTAAATGTCGCCGCTAATAACTGGCGTCGACGCTAAAGGCATGTCGCCGCTAAAAATAGGATGTCGCCGCTAAAGGTTAGTCGCCGCTAATAACCGGTTATCGCCCCTAAAGGCGTCGCCGGTATTGGTATTTTTTTATTTTTTTATTATTTCACATTTAAAATTGAAAAAAACTACATAAAAAGTATAAAAACTATTATGATATTAATTAAGCTAATTCCACCGTTCCATTCAAAAATATTAATCCAACATCCGTTTAAGATACTCATCCAATTTAACATAATACAAAATATCGAAAATACTAGTCTAAAATACTTACACACAAATATCCTACAACTAGCTACTCGTCATCATTGCTCTCCTCGTCTCCTCTGGTTTCATTTTGTTGTGGCAACGAACGAAACCAATCTTCAAGTGCGGCACTACATTCCAGATCTTTTAACATTGTTTGAAGCATTTCCAACTACAAATAAAACAACATAGTTTATAAGTTAAACCAACATTATAACATTCTATATAAAAAAATATACATTCCACATAAACTAACAATTACCAAATTACACATATTGCATATAACACATTATTGCATTGTACTATAACTAACAATTACCAAACTACAAAATACCATTATAGCATTGTACTTTCATATACTAACAATTACCAAACTACACATATTGCATATAACACATTATAACATTGAACTTTCATAAACTAACAATTACCAAACTACAAAATACCAATATATCAAACTATAACCAAACTAACAATTACCAACATATAAACTATTATCAAACTAACAATTACCTATATTTAAAACTATTACTAAACCAACAATTACCAACATTTGAAACAATTACCAAAATTAAATAGTTTTCTCACCTGTGATTGTGGCGGTGGCTGTGTCAGTGGTTGTTCCTGATCGTACATCGACACAACTGTAGAAGGTTTACGCCCGATTCCTCTGATGTGGCCTCGTCGAACACCCAATATTCTTTCAAAACAATTTTGTGTATCCTTTGGTGTTAAACCGTTGGCTTGTGAAGAAGCTTGAGTTTGTTGACTGATCTCAAGGAGTAATGCATTCTGTATTTTCAAAAAATGATAAATATCATAACATTTAGATTATTAAATACCCCTTGACGATATAAACACTTATATAAAAATACAAATTAACCACTTACGTATTGTTGCTCGACTGCAGGACTACTAAATACCCCTTGGCGATCAGTATTAGCCTTACGAAATGCTTCAATTCGAGTGATGTCCTATTTAACATTAAAAGTTAGATTAATTATAATTTAAATAAACAATTAAATATATCATAGCTTACTTCTTTGAAACATGCATTGCTATACGAGCATGACCCCCCTCTGTTTACAACTACTTGTTGTGCACGGACTCCTTTGTTTGACGCCGAACGCTTTAAAAATTCCGGCGTTTGAAAATGTTCGACTGCTTGTGCCCAATTTTCACGTGACATACCATCGGGGGGGTTGGCTAATGCCCTTGGGATATCTGTAATCCCCCCGGCATTCTGAAAATGAGTATGCGCTTTATTTTTTTGGCCTCTATAAACTCTTTGTAAAGTCGCATCAATGCTCTGCAACAACTGAGCATGCTCGGGATCCAAGTTAACCTTATCCAAATCAAACTTATTCTACAAATACAAAAAAGTTAGTTAATTAAATATCAATCACAATTAAACTTAAAATAATATCCAAGTTACCTTTAGATGCACGACTGTGACATTCCTTAAAGCGGGGGAAACATTCTCCCAACCAGATACGTTCAAAGGGATGTTCATCCACATATACTTCCCAATCTCACGGGTAAACCAATTACCATGCTTCCCGACAGGGGAATATGTGAGCTCTCTGTCGAAATCCAAATCTACGGGCTATCCCTTGTTTGCCCGTATCAGCTTTGATGTTGGATGTTTTTTGCTAGGCCTCTTCTTTTTTTAGGAAGCTCAGCTGAAAAATATAATTAAAAATATTAGTCAGGACCAAAGCCCACTGGAGGTAATAAATATATCATAATGTGACTTACCATCCTGTTCGTGTTGTCCACGACCAAAGCCCACTGGAGGTAGTGGATCCCCGGCTCCATCACCTCCATGTCCTAGGCCCATAACATCCGCCATAACGTAGAAGAGTATCGCATAACCAAACCCCATATGTAGCCTGTAAAATTACAATATGAATAAAAGTTACACATATTGCATATACAAAAATAATACACTTTCTATTATAGCACCCTACTTTGTTTTTTTTTTCATCTATAACATTATAGTTTCCAAATGGCATACAAATACACAAACTACATATGTAATTTTCTATACATACAAATACACATATAAAAAATAATACTTTCCATTATAGCATCCTACTTTGTTTTTTTGTTTTTTTTTTTTCATTTTTTTCATTATAGCATTCTAATTTCCAAATTGCACACAATACATACACATATTACATATACATACAAATTGTAAAAAATTAACATATTAAAAAAAACTTATACATACATTTCAATTACAAATGATAAAAATTAACATATTAAAGTACACTTACACATACATTTCAATCACAAATGGTAAAAATTAACATATTAAAATACACTTATACATAAATTTCAATCATAAATGGTAAACAAATATACATATATAAACATGTTGACTTATACATACAAATTCATATACACATATGGCAAACGAACACACATACATAAACATATATAATTTTTTCTGTTTTCACCATATATACATGCATTTATACATACATTATACATACTTACAAAAACACATACAAATACATATGTACATACACATAATATAAATACAAAAATACATAAGTTATAAAGGAACCTGGTTGTGTAATCTAGTGGAGAAGGGTGGTGATGACGTATTGACATAACTTTCCGACAATCAAGTTTTTTCCGGCTAAATTCCGGCAGAAAACAAAAAAAACCTGGTAGAGATTGCAAAAATCTACAAGGGCTGCAACAATACCACTCTTAAATCAGTAAGAGAAGAAAATTAAAACAAAAAAATCGATGGAGAAGGAGGCAAAAACCACCTGTGGTCGCCGGTTTTACTTCCTCGTTGCCGGTAGTATGATTTGTCGTCGCCGGTGATACGAGTCTTCGTCGAAATTGACGGAATGGAGGCTAGGTCGGCAGTGTTGGCGGTCTTGTGGCAGGAATGATGGCTGGACGCGATTGATCGTCGAACGAAATTGAGTCGGCTGGGAGGTTTCACAGACAAAACATGATACACAGAAAGGAATAGAAAGGAAGCTGAAAGGGGGTTATCTGTAAAGGGCTTTAGCGGCGACGGGCAGTAGCTGCGACGCGGAGGCATTAGCGGCGACCACCTGGAGGGAAAAGTCAGCGCCTTTTCTTGTTCCGTTTAAACCCTACGATTGAAAACAAATCGAACAGATGAGGCTCGTTTGACGTGGATCGCTATTATGTGACTATTAGCGGCGACACCTAGCATTAGCGGCGACATGTAACGCGTCAATTACATGTCGCCGCTAATGCCAGACGTCGCCGCTAAAGGTGTCGCCGCTAATGCCCCCATTTCTTGTACTGAAGTCTCGACCACACCTTGCTTTGTTGCATCATATACTTATGCATGTATCATTCATAATAAATATTGTTTTTAATATTCTATAACAATAATATTAAGATTATATATTTTACATATTGTACTACGATCTGTAATATTCAATAAATATATTATTAAAGATTTTATAAATTTACACATTATATAAAATATTACACATTGTATTTTCATGAATAATATTATGTTACAATAATTTAATAGAATGGTTATTTATTTAAAAAAAAATTTGTACGTTAAAAATGATGAAAATTAACGGCATGTAGTATTTTTGAATTATCTTTTTAAATTTTTTAACCCCATAAAGTATGTGGACAAAAACTTGTCCTATGTTTCATAAAATCCCGCCTTAAATTAACACTTCCTGGTCCATGTTAGCCTTTCTTAAATCACATGAAACATAAAATGAAAAATAGATAATTCACATGAAATAAAAACAAACTTGATCATCAAAAGCATCAAAACAAGTGGGGATCAAGATCAAATAAGAAGGAAATTTTTGGTAGGAAGGTAAGAAGTTTTTTTTCTACATATTTTTTTCGCGAACAAACAAAATGAATCATTAGATGATTCAATTGTAAAATGATTCACAAGAAAAAATTCTTAAAAAAACATCATGATGATTCATTTATACAATGATTTTAATGATTTTGTTGTTATTCACTAAAATTGTCATAAAAATGAATTTTTTCTTAATTTACTTAAAAATGAATCATAAAGATGTTTTTTTAGGAATTTTTTCTTGTGAATCATCTTACAAATGAATCATCTAGTGATTCATTTATTTTGTTCGTCAAAAAAATATATAGAAAAAAAACTTCTTACCTTCCTACCAAAAAAAATTTCTTACCGGATCTATATAAACATTTCCTATTGACGATAGACGCACCACACTCATCATATTCTTTCTTGGAGATCAAATCCTGTAAAGAGAAAAGAATAGTCAAATAGAAAAATTAGTCATACATTACGCAAAATAGCAAAACTATAGTTTTTTTTACCAATAGGACAATGTACCTTACGTTTCTCCATAACAATATGCATTAACTTTTATTTCTTTATGCATATGTACTTACATAATTTTACTAATAATAACAATGTGTAACTATGACAACGACATACGTAAATTTCGTTAGACATAGAAAGTAGTGTACTTATTGTTTACTTACAACGTAGTTACGTTTCCTAACCAAATAATAACACATAACAAGTAAAGTTATTACTCATATTGTTAACAAAATGCAAGTATGATGTTCCTAACCAAATAATAACACATAACAAGTAAAGTTATTACTCATATTGTTAACAAAATGTAAGTATGATTAGGGATGGCAACGGGGCAAACGGGACGGGTCCCATAGGACTTTTTGACACCCCTAAGTATGATGTTATTATTGCCAAAAAAAAAATAAAAAAAAAATAAAGTTGCATTGTTGTTATCAATACCAAAAAAAATGGTAGGCACATAGCTATTAATGTTGGGGTTTTAATTACTAAATCTATCGTGAAAGACTAAACCTAGTTAAGTAGTAAATCAATCAGGATTATCGATTAAAATTAAATATATTCTATTATTAATTTCTATTACTTTTTCTTAATTTGTACTACGTATATCAATTATAAATAACATTTTTACATTGATTTAAATTATTTTTTTATCGATATATTTTTTCTGGAAATTAAAGTTACGATAATGGTCCTTTTATCTTTTTTAATTTGTAGATTGAAGTCATTGAACAAAAAATGGGTTTATTTGAGAACACTTTGTCTATTTTTATCAAAAGTTTACATATGTTAATATACAAATTAGTTTTTAGGCTATCGGATTTCGGTTAAAACCGAATCAGTTTTTACAGTGTAACCGTTTATAAACTTTAATTTGAATATACATAACTTGAAACCTAATTCGGATTAACCTATATCCGTTTCGAATTAATTATCCTATATCTAACTAGAAAACAAACAAAATATCATTTTTATGATATAACCGCTTATAGATTCTAATTATACATTTAAGTATTTATTTTTACTTGTCCTTGTTTTAAAATTACTTTCTTGTCGTTTTCTCTTTGTTTTAGATGCAATATTATTTTATGATATAACCGCTTATAGATTATAATTATACATTTAAGTATTTATTTTTACATGTCCTTGTTTTAAAATTACTTTCTTGTCGTTTTCTCTTTGTTTTAGATGCAATATTATTTGTTTTTAACTAAGTCTAACTATATTATATTTAAAAAATAATATATATATATATATATATATATATATATTATATATATATATATATGTTGAAATAGTACCAAATTTGGAACGGTTGGTTCCTTCGTGTTGTTTCGTGTGTGTATATATATATATATATATATATATATATATATATATATATATATATATATATTTGAGAAAGATTAAAAGTTGATGTGTCGAGTGTAATAAAAAGATAGCAGAAATAAAGAATCGTAGCTTTAAGTGCAATCATTTTTTATATTAATTATAATATTTAAGATTATCCGTTTAACAAATAACTTTAAAACCCTTAAAAAACGAACGAACATGAACATGATGTAAGTAAACAAAACATAAAAAAAAAAACAACATTAATTGATTTTATTAGATGATATATATAGTATATGTATTTTTATCTTAATCTGTTTATTAAAATAAAACTTTAAAAAGAAAATATCATAAATCGAATTGATTTACTTAGAAAATTTATTATTTTAATCAGAAAAAATTAAAAACATAATGTAAATAATAAAAAAAACATTCCAACCAAAAATAGTTGTAAAATTTAATAAAAAATAAAAAAAAAGTGAAAAAACTTGGAAAAATATAAGATTTATATGGGAAAATATTTCAAAAAATAAAAACATCAATAATAAGACACATTATATATGAATAATCTAGATAATTATGTTAATAATAATAACAAAAATAATAATTATAAATTAATTTAAAAAAAACATAATAATTTGAAGGTGATTAAGAATGATGCGATGATGGAGTTTTCTTAAGAAAGTTAGAAGGTTTTTTTAAGAAGGAAAAACGACTTGCTAAGGTAATTAACTTTTCGGTATATTCATATCTGGGTAAATATATTTTTTATACACATCTAGGTAACAAACTTGTTCGAAGTGTTCACATATGACCATTATGACCGGCTGTAGCAGGTCACATCCTAGATGTGAACACTTTCAACAAATTTGTTACCTAGATGTGTACAAAAAAATAGTTACCCATATATGAACAAACGAAAAGTTAGAGTAAATTACATGAATGGTCCCTGTGGTTTAGGGGAATTTGTGTTTTTGGTCCCTAACTTATTTTTTTTAACTCAGATGGTCCCTATGGTCCCTACTGGTTATTTTTGTTGCGCGTTTGGTCCATGTCTTACCTAAAAAGACTATTGTGACCTTATTAATTTGTTTTTTTAATTAATTTTCCTATTTATGTATTTATTTTTTATATATTTAAAAAATTACTAGACCCCACATATCTGTATCTCCTCACCATCCCATCTCTCATCCTCCTCCCATCCCATATCTATATCTCCTTAAATATATGTATCTCCTCACCATCCAATCCCTCATCCTCCATCTTTAGGGATATCGACGTCTTCTCAATCCCTTCTTTTTTCGGTCTTTCAACTCCGTCGAATCAACACTACAACCCACTAAAGATTAAGAGACAGTGGGTTATGGTGTTGGTTCGCCATAGCTGAAGGACAAAAAAAAGGATGATGAAGACGTCGATGTCACTAAAGATGGAAAAGAAATAGAAGTTGAGGAGGATGAAAGATGGGATAGTGACCAGTGAGACTCAAATTAAAAATTTCAAATGTGGTTTCAGGTTTACGGTGAGGAGATACAGATATGTGGGGTATATTAATCTTTTTAAATATATAAAAAATAAATACATAAATAAGAAAATTAATTAAAAAATAAATTAATAAGGGCACGATAGTCTTTTAGGTAAGATAGGGACCAAACACGCAACAAAAATAAACAGTAGATACCATATGAGTTAAAAAAAATATGTTAGGGACAAAAACAAAATTCCCCCAAACCACAGGGACCATTTGTGTAATTTACTCTTACTTTTCGTTTTCTTCATATTTGGGTAACTATTTTTTTGTACACATCTACGTAACGAACTTGTTGAAAGTGTTTACATCTAGGATGTGACCTGCTACAGCCGATCATAATGGTTATATGTGAACACTTTCAACAAGTTTGTTTACTAGATGTGTACAAAAAAAAGATAGTTACCCAGATGTGAACATACTGAAAAGTTAATTACCTTAGCAAGTAATTTTCCCTTTTAAAAACCCACACGAGTAAAAAAAAAATCCCAATTATTAATGAAAGTGAACTGTATTGTTATTCCCAGCAATGTAGTTAAATTTTGTTAACACATAATGACATGGGTGGACCCATCTATGAGTCAGGATAGGCTCAGGCTCAGGTCCATCCTGAAAATTTAAAATTTTTCCTGTTTGTTTGTTTGTTTATATATATATATATATATATATATATATATATATATATATATATATATATATATATATTTCTAATTAATTTATATAGAACATCGTAAAAAAAAATCTGGCTTTACCCTTGCATAATGAAAGGTACTTGCATTTTATTTTACTGATAATAGCAATATGCAGCTATAATGGCAACATACTTTACATTTTTTGTACTCAAATTGGAGTGTAGTAATAGTAACAATATATTACCGGTAAATCATATAAGTCATTCGTATTATGGGTAGAAATATAAAAGCATGTTGCTATTATCAGTAAAAAAAAATTGGTTATATCCATGGCGATGCCAGTAACCTAAGCTACTATTCTTTGTAGTTTTCCTTATTTACTTAATGGGAAAAAGAACAAACAAGGTTTTAGTTTTACCTCTAGGAAGGTGTTGAGAGATGACATAATTGATCCTCCAATCCAGACACTATGTTCCCGATCGGTCGGCGCAATCACCTTGATCCTCATGCTACTGGGGGCAAGGACGGTAATTTCCTTGCTTATCCGGTCAGCAATCCCCGGGAACATGGTTGACCCACCACTAAGCACAATATTTTTATAAAGATCCTTCCTGATATCAACTTCAGACATCATGATCAAGGAGTATATAATCTCGTGAATGCCAGCAACTTCCATTCCAATCAGAGATGGCTGGAAGAGAACCTCCGGGCACCGAAATCTCTCACTCGCGATCGTGATCATCAACCCGTCGGGCAATTCATAGCTCTTTTCAATTGAATAACTACTTTTTGCGGTTTCGAGTTCTTGCTCGTAGTCAAGAGCCACATAAGCAAGATTTTCTTTCATTTTACGAACAATTTCCGGTTCAGCACGGGTGGTGAATGAGTAACCTCTTTCGTTAATGATTCTCATTAGGGAATCTGTGAGGTCACGACCCGCAAGATCAAGACGTTTGATGGCATGACGAAGTGGGTAACCTTTGTAAATTGGGACTACGTGGGTCACACCTTCTCCAGAATCCAACACGATACCTAAAGAAAAAGTATCGTTGAGTTATGTTTGTCAACATAAAATGTAAGTTTATGCCAGAGTCTAGGGCTTTGGTTTCAAAGTGTCTCGATAAAAATACGGTTTGAAAATGGTAAGTGTTTTAATGAAATGGACGATTAAGGAACGAAATGGATTGGATAATCGGATAGTGACATTATTTAACTATAACTAATGAATCTTTTATTCGCTAAAAAAAACAAAAAATTGAATATGATAAAATTTTATTAAAACCCAAATAACGTAATGCATTAATTTATGATGAAATCCATTTTTTTTAGAAAGAAAAAATCATAACTTACGACCATGAAATTTACTCAATCAAAATTACATTGAGAAAAGAGAGTTATTTTTAAAATTTTCATTTTTTCATTTTATTTCAATCATTTCGTGATTCAATTATACCAAACGCAATAAGTACTTGGGATTGACTTTTAAGATTATTCAATGTGATTGTAACAGTGTCCTATTTTTCTCCCTACAGGCATCGTTTTTCTCTAGTTTTCGGATTGTTGGTAACCTTTGATATCATTTCCTCAATATAATAATGCAAGCTATATATGTAAGTTAGAGTTGAAAAACAAGAGTAATGTGAGACTAACCAGTTTTTCGATCAACCGCGAACAAAGAAAGCAGAGCGTGGATTGCAACATACATGGCAGGAACGTTGAAGGTCTCAAACATGATTTCAGTCATCTTTTGTCTGTTTACCTTCTGATTTAGTGGTGCATCAGTAAGGAGCACAGGGTGCTCTTCAGGGTCAACACGAAGCTCATTTTGGAATGTGTGATGCCAGATCTTTTCCATATCGTCCCAGTTGGTAATAATGCCATTCTCAATAGGATATTTCAAAGTCAAGTTATCACTTTTTAACTGGGCTTCATCTCCTACATAGGCATCTTTTTGGCCAGTGCCCACCATAACCCCACGTGGCCTACCCACAATACTGGGAAAGATTGCAGTGGGACCACCATTACCAGCGAAACCCGCCTGTAATTAATTTAAGCAACAAATTAAGTGGTTTTTATACGATATTTGCAACCATGCATGCTATAATTTAAGACAAAAGTATGCAAAATGATAATCGAAAATATCATAACCTGGCCATTGTCTAAATGCTTATTTGTCTAGAATTGCATTTTAGTAAAAGAATAAAACATCCTCGTATATTTCGTCTATAAAACGTAATAAAAATGAAGAGAAATTAAATATCTTTCTACTTTTTGTTCCTACAAATCTTTCTTTCCCATTAAATAATCACATATGTAACATTTAATTAAATTCAATGATATTTTAGTATAATAATATGACATATGTCATCATTTAATTGGGTATGAAGATTTTTAAGAATAAAAATAAGAGGATATTTAATTTCTCAAAAATGAAACAGTGTCCGGTGTTTATTTATTTATATTGTGTCCCTTATTTACCAATTTCTTCAATGGAATGAAATGAGTTACAATTAGCATTTGTACCTTTAAAACACGTGACTAGTAAAATGTTGCATATTTTGGTAATTAATAGATACCAACATACTTGCATATTTCCTTTAGAAAACTAATATATAGACCCGAAATGTTACACCTTTTTACCAATTTATGCAACAAAATTTCTCACTTTTACCAATTTATGCAACTCTTACAAATTATGCAGGCAGGTTTGAATTGGTTAAACTGGCTTTCAGAAGATAATTGCGTATATAGGCGACATAATCAAAATAGTTGCATACTTTGTCCAAAATACCAATATGTTGCATAATGGAGAAAAAGTATATTTGATGCTTCAATGCCTAAACAAGCTTTTAAGTTTATTTATATATATAAAAAAAATCCAAAATACAAGAATACAAATAAATTAAGAGAAAATAACTTATAAGCCCAATGAAGTTTTCAAACCGTTCAAAAAACCCAATTATGTTTTGTCTGTTTAAAAAAACCCAACGAACTTAATCTTTTGTCTAAAAAACCCAACTAACTTACACTTTCGTTCACTACTCATTTAGGGTCAACTGGCTAATGAAAGTCAATGAATGACATGGCTGATTACGTGTAATTAAATATTAGAAAATGACTTGTAAAACCAAAGAAGTTTCAAAACCGTTCAATAAATCCCAATCATGTTTTGTTTGTTGAAAAAAATCCAACGAACTTACGCTTTTGTTCAATTCTCATTAGAGACAACCAGATTCATTAGGTATATAACTAGTTGGCAAATGACATGACATTATATTTAATGACATGGAATAAACAGATTAGAATCACCCTTTATATATTGATTTAGGTCTTGGGGAAGAGAAAAATGAACGACGTCTGTATTCGATCTCTTGTAATAACTACTTCTTATTCTTCCTCTCAATCGCTGATGTCCAACTCAAGATCTACAAAGAAGGTATTTGATGATGCAAACTCTTGTGGATGTAGACCCCACTTTCAGATTTAGACATCTAGAATGGAGGATCATCTAGAGATAATGTTTAGGGCTTGTTTGAACAGATGGATAAGTGTAATTAAAAGCTTTATCATGTCCATTTTAATAATTTTTTGTTTTTGAAAAAAACCAAACAAATAGATAGAATATGGACATGATCCTCCGTTCTAGATGATCCTCCATTCTAGATGTCCAAATCCGAAAAGGGCATCTACATCCACAAGAGTTTGCATCATAAAATATCTTCTTTGTAGATCTTGAGTTGGACATCAACGATTGAGAGGAAGAAGAAGCAGTAGCTATTACAAGAGATCAAACACAGAAGTCGTTCGTTTTTCTCTTCTCCAAGCCCTAAATCGATATATAAAGGGCAATTCTAATTTGTTTATTCCATATCATTAAATATAATGTCATGTCATTTGCCTATTAGTTGTATACCTAATGAATCTGGTTCCCTCTAAGGAGAATTGAACAAAAGCATAAGTTCGTTGGTTTTTTTTTTCAACAAACAAAACATGATTGGGGTTTTTTGAACAGTTTTGAAACATCGTTTTACTTACAAGTTATTTTCCGATATTTAATTACACGTCATCTGCTATGTCATTCGTTGACTTTCATAAGCCGGTTGACCCTAAATGAGAAGTGTAAGTTAGTTGGGCTTTTTTAGACAAAATGTTAAGTTCGTTGGATTTTCTGGAACTGACAAAACATAATTGAGGTTTTTTGAACGGTTTGAAAACTTCGTTGGGCTTATAATTCATTTTCCCAATAAATTAACGAAGTTCAAATAATTACGACAAAGAACAGAAGAGTTATGTTTACCTTCATCATTCCCAAAGTCGTCCATATCCCCAATGGGTTCCATTGTCAATAACAATGGGTTCCATATCCCCAAAGTCGTCCATTTCTATAAAACCTGCAACACAAACATCAAAAATACAATAATTTTACACAGAAAAATCTCCGACGTGCATGCGGATTATTTTCAATAGTTTTCAACTTGGCTGGCAAGAAATTAATAGGCACAAAAATCTCGGAATTATCATTATCTACATGCTAATTAAACATTTTCCTACGTCAATACTCATATGGTGAAAAAAAATCACACCAACCAGAAGATCAAAGTTACCAATTATTAATTACCCTACAGATCCTGATGACAATCATCAATGGATATTCACTTATTCAAAAAATTCCGTCAAAATCAAGCATGCATGCAGTTCAAGCTGAAAGTAAATCCCTCAGTAATAAAGAACAAAATAATCGAAATACATGGATATATTCAATCTAACCAGAAATACTACTCATCAGATTATAGATCTTCACGATATGCCACATAATTCAGACTCAAATAAGTCAATCACAACAAAGAACTGACCATATTATGCCAAAAAAGCAGATATGATCGACTGTAGTACTGTACTGTGAGAAATCAATACAGAACAATTTCGATTTTACTTGAAGAGACTCAGATCGGAAGTTCAAAACCATAAAACCATTAGAATTACATGATAATCAAAGCAAACCTTTAGAATTTCAGAAAGAAGAGGAAGCAGCAGAAAGAACCCTCAACTCGCTGGCAACTCAAACACTAGGCTCCGGTTATCCGTTCAGTGAAGAATGATAGAGGGAAAGAAATAGATTGTTATATAGGAGAGGATATATGGTGTATCTATTTTTAAAATTTGAGCTGCAAATGGGGAGAGGAAGGAATCATTAGGACTGCTCCTGTCCATTCGATTTAACTTTTGTACAAATTACTATCATAATAATGATGGATCAATAACTAATAAATATTATAAACTCTACCCTGTGTATACATTTAAAATTATCGACAGCATTTTATGATCGATCAAGTATACCGAGCAATTGTAAAACTTACTTTCATAGAATTCATTAAATCAGATGGGGTTCAATGTTAATTAAAGATATTGGGTGCATTGCCGAAAAACAATATAGAAACCTAAATATTAGTCAACTCTCTCCCTCTCTTTAAAATAATGAGTAGTCATCTTGCATAGCCTTGCAGGTTGATCATATAAAACTTAAGCTATTCGTCAACTCCCTCTCTCCTTACATAAACATAATTGATGGTTCAATTTAAAAATAACGAGTTGCATTTTTTTTTGAACAAATATAGTTGAAATTGTTATCACAATAGTAAACATGTAAAAAAAAACAATCATGAATTTTGAAAATGAGTACACACTAAATCCAAAATTATATATGAAGTGATCTCAAACCAAAAAATATACTTTTTTATTTTACAGAAAACTGAAACATGAAAATGTACACAAACCAGGGGTGTAGACAAAAATTACACTGATATACACGTATTTCTAGAGGATACAACAATCAATCATGATATCATCTTAATTTTTACAAGTATACATATTATCCCTTCATGACAGAAAAATACTATTTGTGACGGAATTTTGAAACTCCACAATTCAATCAAAATAGGAATTTGTATGCTATAGGTTTAACTGTCAATAAACAAAAACTTAAACTACAAAAATATTTCTCAATTGGTTATTTTGAAATTAACTAATTAACTATTAAAAAATTAATTTCTAATTTTTAATTAGAATATTATATTGATCAAGACGGAGCCTAAAATACTGCAAGAACCAATATCTTATCTTTGAACATTAATATTAATTAATCCAAACCTATTTCTAGCCCAATTAGCTAGTCAACATTATTCTCCAAGCACTTATTCCTTTGCCTCTAGCTTATCCATTGTGTTAAAGTGGTAGGACGAAAAGTTAAAAGTTTTATAAAAGTTTCATTTTATTATAATGTGGTATAATTGCTCCAAAGAAAACAAACTTCCATCAAACTTTCATATTAAAATCTAGGTGGAAAGATATGACATACATTTGAAAAGTTGTTGTAGAACTTAAACCTTTTATAGTAAAAAGTTGTTGTAGAACTAAATAAAAAGAATGACACATATCATATATAAAATAGGTTGATTCTTATCTTTGTGTTCATTTTGGTTGTGAAAAATTTATTTTTTCATGATACATTTAGAGAACTTAGCTATATTAGGTCCAAAAGTTGCGACCTCACATCCACTTCACATAGCTAATGTTGACCTTGGAATAACCCTTAGTGTTCCACTGTAAAAGCTATCAACATTATAAATAATAAAGATTCATCCCTATATTATCAACGGAAAAAATACAAAATAAATATCATAGAAGTGAGCATACATTTGTGTTTATGCTTGTTATGGAATTTGCAAGAATGCATGCAAAATATCTAATGCAAAAAATACACAGTATTTAACATAGTTGGGTCAATATAACCTATATCTTCATGCCAGGAGAAAGTATTACTATTCAGTTTGTTCAAACAGAGTAACATGACAATAAAAAAAACAATTCATAAAGTGTAACACATGGTTCCTGGTAGGGGTGTGCATAAAACCGCACAAACGCATAAACCGCCTGCACCGCACCGTGGAATGCGGTTTAGAACTTTGGTGGTGCTGTTTGTGGTTTGAAATTTTATTAAACCGCACTTTGGGGTATAGTTTGCGGTTTATAATTACAAGATTGCGGTCTAATCCGCACCGCGTGTGTGTGTGAATATATATATATATATATATATATATATATATATATATATATATATATATTCGGAAATGCATAACTAGATAACCAAATGGTTATTATCGTTTATTCTTATATATATTTAAATTTTCATGATTGCACTTGTAAGCTGTAACCAACATTTGTAATGATTTGCATGATTGAATACAAAGAACTTCACATCTTATGTATATATTTTTTGTTTCAATGTCACAGTTAAGTACTATCTATGTATTTTAATTATTGTTATTATGGTATTAATTTATTCTTAATAATATTGTTTTTAAAAACCACCTATAATTATAGATCTTGTTAAAAGTGACACTATTAGTCAGACATATAAGTTCTACAAATAGATATTGCATCGTCAGATCAATAAAGAGATATATAAACTATATAAAAATGTTACATGAAATTTAATTTTCCATATGTAAATCATAATGAAATGTGAGAATGTCATTTTGTAATTACGAATTTAAGATTAATAATATGTTACACGTGTTATGCACAAGCTCTATATCGTTGTCTCAAATTTGTTTTGTAAATATATTAGGTTGTAGGGGAGTTTTTCAAGCCGCAAAAACCGCAAAACCGCACAAAACCGCCCGCATCAAATCACAACGCACAATGCGGTTTACAGCTTTCGCAGTGTGGTTTGCGGTTTCCGATAAACTTAAACCGCATATGCGGTGCAGTTTATGGTTTTGGGTATAAACCGCACCAAACCGCACCGTGCACACCCTTAGTTCATGGTATGTGGTTTATCCCGTATTAATTTTATTTAAGTTAGTTTTGATTTATGGTTTTAACCATTTCGCGAGGTGGATGCTTGATGTTCGCGGCACGAGCCATGTCATTAAGACGCGACACAACTATATGTTGGTCGCAACGCGGTGGTCGCCTCCCTTTCTTGAGATTCTAAGCCTTGTGTCCTTGTTATGCATCTTGAAGGTGAAGAAGGATCTTTTTATTGTAAGGAGGTGTGATTCAAGATGGATACAACATTGTGTGCATCTTCTGAATCTCTGTAACTATTCAAGTTTGGAACTTTTTGTGCTCAAATGCTTAGATGTAGGTTTTAATGTTTATTATGGAATTTTGTTTGAGATTCTTGTAGAGTTTGACTAACTCTAGGTGTTAAGCATGTGTTTTGGGGTCTTTTGGACCCATGCGAGTACAAAACTCAAGTTGTTCGCTTTCATTTTGTGTCATACAAGACTTTGGGTGTATTTTGAGCTTAATCTAGATCTAGGATTAGAGCTAGGTTGGTTTCATGCATCAAAATGGATAAAGTTGGAAACTTTATCCAATAAATCCTTATTTCGATCTAATCTTTGAATTTAGAGTGTTGGTCTTAATGTATTAAGACCTTGGGGAAAAGTTGGCTATCTACCGAGAACTACGACACAACCTGTAGGTGTATCATGACGCAACCGTGATGACATCTGGGACTAGTTGACCATTTGCCATTGAATTGAGTAGTTGACCATTAACCGCCGACTTTTTGATTAGTTGGACTTTTAGTCAAACTTTATGGGTTTGAGCGACCTCTTTTTGATTTAGGTGGTTCATGTAGTTGATTTCGTGAGCTTTCGAGTGTTGCTTTTTAAATATTTCATTTATGTAAGTCTTCTGACTATATTATCGATGTAATGATTGGATCATCTATGTGTTGGATGCATGAGTAATTCTTTGACATGTTAGTATGTTTAGCTAGACTATTAAGGTCTTGTTTGTGGATTAAGTGGTGTTTTTTTTGGTTTGTCATTTGTTTTATTGGGCTGATGGAAAGACCAGGATAGGCCGTGAGTCAAATAATGTTAGGTGGGTTGATGCCAAGATTACCCGATTGAGATGATATCGATATCATAATCGACCATTAGCTAAAGAGTCCCAATACATTCACGTATAGTTATACTGTTGATAGTTCATAAAAAGTTATCGTCATGTTATCCGAAAAAATGTTAATGCGAGTAAGGAACTATCTGAAGTAACCTCCTTTTCGAGTTACCTCGCTTTCTGAAAATGATGTGATTACTAGAAGCTTGCTCAACAAAGATCTTCCATTAGATATACTTTCTGTTGATGTGTAGTTTTGCTTTTGTCTCATTTATTTCCATGTCTTTAGTTACAATTTACTTTTCTATGAATAGACAAGTCAACCTTTGTTATAGATGTTCCTTCTATAGTTATCTTCAAGATTAATACATGAGTCATAGTTTCAGAAAAACTTTCTTTGTGATTTAGATTTATGTATAAGTCATTTATTCTTGCTTTACAATTTTTGCATTAAATACAACTTGGTTATTATAATTCAAGCTCAACCGGAACTTCTTATAGACTTGATTGGAACTTCATTATTTGCTTCCATTATTGTTGTTCTTTGAATATAGTTTACTTATATTCCTTTTAATTGGTATCAGAGCTCAAATAGTTGTCCTTTGAATCCATTAGATCATATTATCATTGTTTACCTTGGTATCTCTTTCATTTATGCAACTATAAGATAAAAGTTCTTCATATACACCATTGCCGATTTTTAACACAACTAATGTGCGAAAATAGTGTAATAATCTAAACATAATTCTAACAACAAATTTTTAGTTTTTAAATTTATAATTCGTAACAAACTAAACTTGACTATTAGCATCGGACAATGTACCTAATCACATCATAATATTAGTTGAAGTAAACATGGGTGTAAAACTCTATGAAAATATTAAACTCTATTAATTAAAAGTAAATTAACAAAATAATTCTTAAATAAGCAAAATACTAAACTTATCAAACTAATAAATAAAAGTACTTTCGTTTAGAATTCGAATCTCCTTATTATTATGTTTAATGAATTCAATTGCAATGGAATTTAATAGATATTCATTTATTCCTAAAGTGATTTACTCAACACCAATATGATTAACCCTACGATTCTAAGTTATCTATCAGCAACGATAGCTTTCCTAGACTTAGTATGTCTGTTCATATTATGTAATGACTTAAAATTTATGATATGTCACATGGTTAATGGCGACTTTTCAAATTGTCTAAGTTATTGGGTCAATCACAAATATTAATATCAATTTTATTAGGTTTAACCTAGGGTATCACTGCATCGGTTATAAGTGCCTACACTCTTGACTTGTTTTTCAGCTTGGAAAAGTTAATAAAGAACGTGATTCAAAATCATTATCAATACTCATGGATCTTTAGTTAGGCATTAACATAATAAGTTACTATCAAACTCCTTTGAGTTAATTAAAACATACATCTAAACGAAAGTTTAGGGTTTTAGCCCATAATCATAAGAAAATAACTAGAAAGAACAAATACATAATGCAAACTGGAATTCTTTAAAACTTCAAATGCATAAATCTTCAATTATTTTCTTCTTCCAAGGTT